CCATTTATTGAGCAGCTGCTATGTGCACTGTTCCGGGTTGAGGATAGGTTAATCACTGTAAGTCTGGTTTCCTGGAAACACTGAGATTCGGTTTATCGGAGCACCCTTGTGAAGACAGCAGGATCGGACAGAGCTGAAATTCTGTCCCAAGAGATGCTCTGGAGCTGAGTGCGAGATCACCCCCAAAGATGTCCCACATTAAGAGGACCAGACCTTTATATTCATATGTCAGCACTGGGGGTGTGCAGCTCTCTTGGCAGAAAGTAATTCCAAGAGAGCCGGGAAGCTGAAGGCTGAAAACTTTCTGTAGGATCTTCCAGAAGCCTGCTCTTCTGGGGGTTCCCTCTACTCATAGTGGGATCTGCTGTCTCTTTACGAGGCCCCGCCCTCTCCCCAACTTGTATTGGGTGTGAGCTGCAAGGGACCCACCTTTTTTCTCTGTTGCTGGTCTCTGTTTTCAATACTGTCTACACAAGATGACTTTAAAAATTTTATCTCCAGCCCAACCTCATCTGTTATCTTGAGAATATAAACTAAGGGAGAGTCCTTTGTCATTTTCCCCCTACATCCCAGAATAGAGAATAGTGCTGACCCTGAATTGATTCTCCAATGTTTGCAAAACACACAAAACAAACAGCAGGCAGCAAACTGGAAACAGAAAGACCAACCTCTCAACCACTTTTTTTTTTTTTTTTTTTGCATTACTAGGTATTGAACTCAGGGATGCTCTGCCACTAAGCTAGATTCCAAGCTCTATTTTGTTTTACTTTTTTGAGACAGGGTCTCCCTAAATTGTCCAAGCTAACCTCAAACTTGGGATCCCTCTCCTCACCCTTCCAAATAGTTGGATTACAGGTATGCACTGCCCCCGGCCCACTCAGATTCCCTCTTAATGATTGCCAGTGTTTTGAATAAAATGATTAATTTTAACTATTAGTGGTACAGGTATTTCAGCTGTGCAAAGCAAAATAATTAAAATTGAAATTTAGGGGCTCTGTTTTATGTCTAAAAATTAGAAAATTTCTTTTGCAGGGGGACAGGATTTAGTTCAGTGGCGCCGCACCTGCCTTGCAAGCGCAAGGTCCTGAGTTTGATCCCCGGTACCAAAAAAAAAAGGAAAAGAAAAAAGAAAATTCATCTTGATTTGAATATTACCTTAATTAATCAACCTTATATATCTAGACTTTGTCTACTTGATTATACATCTAGTTTATATCTCTGTTTAATATACATCAATAATATAGTGGGTGGATTTTGTATTTTAGGGAGAAAAATTGGAAAATGAATACACAAGAACAAGGGAGTGAGGGAGAGCAAGAGATAGCAACCATTACAAACTGATTTTGTAAGCAAGTAGCTTCCACATTGCTGTACTATCAGCAGCTACCATACTTCCTGGGATTTCTCTTTAAGGGGAGTGGATTGGTATTTGTTGAAAGCCTGATGGTAGAGATATTTCACATATTTTTTTTCACATCCAAGCTTCATCAAAACCTTTGAGATAGGTATCATTACCACCTTCATTTTACACAAGAAGAATCTGAGGCTCAGAAGTAAGCTGCTTATGTGGAGCCACAAGTATTAAGTGGGGGAGCTGAGATTCAAGTCTGTCTTGGGGCTATGCCCATGTCCTTTCCTTTAAGGTGTATGTTAGAAGCCATTGCCAAATACTGCTAACAGGCAACTCAATATGAATCATTCTATAGTGGGTTTTTTTGTTTGTTTATTTGTTTGGTTTTGGTACCGGGGATCGAACTCAGGACCTTGCACTTATGAGGCAGGTGGCGAAAGCACTGAGCTAAATCTCTGGCCCACTCTATGGTGTTTTGTTTTCTTTTCTAGTGCTGGAGATTGTACCCAAAGCCTTGTACATACTAAGCATGTACTCTACCATTGTACTACATCCCTGACACCTCTACAGTTTTTTTTATTAATAAGTTCAAATTGCTGATATCCAGTAAAAACATTGAGTGTGCATGTGTCCGTGTGTGTGTGCGCGTGTGTGTGTGTGTGTTGTTGTTGTTGTTGTTGGGGATTGACACACGTACTTACTGAGCACTTAGTGTGTGCCAGGTGCTATTCTAAGTACTGGGGATATGGCAGTGTATAATACATATAACTTCAGCTGTGCATGGTGGTGCACACCTGTAATCCCAGCATTTGGAAGGCTTATGCAGGAGGATTGCTGAGAGTTGAAGGCCAGCCTGGGCTACGTAGTCAGTTTAAGGCCAGTCTAAACTACCTAGCCAGACCCTGCCTCAAAACAAAACAAGCCAGAGACAAATAAAATCTTTGCATTTATGTAGGAGTGACTGATCAAACACAGAAAGACAAGAAGGATCACTACTGATGTGAATGAAGGACGTGAAAGATAGCAGTTAATGAAATGGTGGTAGAATGGGATGAGAGGTGTGCTACTTTAAATTACATGATCAAGAAAGCCCTCTAAAGCCAGGTGTGGTGGCGTGTGTCTATAATCTTAGCACTCTGGGAAGTTGAGGCATGAGCATCACAAAATCAGATCCCACATGGGCAATGTAGTAAGACCCTGTATCAAAATTTAAAATTTAAAAAAAAGCTACTTCAAGCCAGACATGGTGGTGCACACCTGTAATCCCAGCACTTGGGAGACTGAGGGAGGATTGTTGTAAGTTTGAGACCAGCCTGGGCTACATAATGAGTTCCAGGTCAGTCTCAACTACATAGTGAAACTCTATCTAAAAAAAAAAAAAACACCAAACCAACCAACAAATAAAAAGCTAGTTCAGTATGAAGGCCCTGGGTTCAATCCGCAGTACCAGAAAAGAAGAAAAGACAAGACATGACTTCTAAACTGGGCTGAGGCAGGAGGATCAAAAGTTCCAGCCCCACCTGAACAACTTATGAAGACCCTGCCTTGCAATTTAAAAGGGAGGGGGGCTCAGACCAAGGATTTAGCTCAGTGGTGCTGCTGCCTGCCTCACAAGCACAAGGACCCGAGTTCAATCCCTGGTACCAACAAATAAATACATAAAAGAGGGGGGTTGAGATGTAGCTCAGTGTAAAGGCCCTGGTTTCAGTCCCCAGTACCACCAAAAACAAAACCTTTAAAGGTAGGAAGTGACCCCTGAGCCAGATCCTAGAGGATGAGAATGAGCCAGCCAAGCTTAGGGAAGAGCATCCCAGGCAGAGAACAGCAGTAGCAAAGACTCTGAGCTAGGAACATTGGTCAAGCAATAGAAGGAAACTAAAGTGAAGTCTGTTCAATACAGAGAACACAGGAAGTCTGGTAAAGGATGCAGTCAGAGGGAAAGACAGGTTAGATGCTGTAAGGTAAACTATTGTAGTTTTAGACAGGGACACGATGTGATTTGGGCTTATTTACTTATTTATTTATTGAGACCGGATCTCATTGTATTGCCTAGGCTCTCAAACTCCTAGGCTCAAGTGACCCACCTGCCTCAGCCTCCCAAGTAGTTGAGGTTACAGGGATATGCCACAATGTATAGCTCCTGGTTTATATTTTTAAAGCTTTTTATTACTGCAGAATAGATTGTTAGTGAGCAGTAGAGGACCAGGGAGATGAACTGGGAGGCAATTTCAGAAGTCCAAAGAGAGCAGATGGTGTTTGGGGCTTAGGGTGGTGGGGTGGAGATGGAGAAAAAGCAGTCAGATGTTGACATGTATTTTGCAGTAGCACCCTCAGGCCATTCATAATATATGTAAAGCTGTACTATTCAATACATAGTCATAGCTCCTCTTGCTATTTACATTTAATTAAAATTAAATAAAACAAAATTTGGTTCCTCAGTTATCTGAACCACATTTCGAGTGCTTAGTAGCCACATGTAGCTAATAACTCTTGTGCTGGACTGCTTAGATATAGGACATTTCCATCATCACAGACAATTCTGTTGGATGGTGCTGGTTAGGGATCTGGGACAGTGGCCAACATGTGTTAATAGTTGAGGTAGGGCCGGGGATTTGGCTCAGTGGTTCCACTGCCTGCCTCTCAAGTGCAGTGTCCTGAGTTTGATCCCCAGTACTAAAAAAGAAAAGGAAAGAAAGAAATAGTTGAGTAAGTGCTAGCTATTAAGTATATTTGCTGTATCACTAGGTCTTTTTTTGTGCTCAACCAACTCTTTAAGTGGCTGTATGCCTTTGCTTTAGTAAAGCAGTATCGTGCCCTGACTGGGTTTTCATGCACTAACTCTTTGCCCTTCAGATGCATACATTTGTTCAGATATTTCAGCGCCCACTCTGTGCTTTGGCTGGAGGGAGTGGTGGATGGGCATATAAAAGAATCTGATCAGGATGTATTCTACCCCCCAGCAAGATGAACCCTGGTTGGGTGAAGGAGATCCTGGTACTTGAAGGATCAGAGCAGAAGAGAGTGTTTCTAGTGGGGATGGAGGTAGAGGTCAAGAAAGCAGTGAGTTTGGACTTGCATGGGTCTGTGTCATGAGGATACTGGCCAAGCAGAGCTTGGGCCTTGGTCATGTTTGCAAGTCAGTTGTGTGCACACAATTTGTGTAGTACTTTCACAGAAAGCTGTGTGTGTGTGTGTGTGTGTGTGTGTGTGTGTGTGTGTGTGAAGGGGCTGGACAGTGACCCAGGTGGACCCAAGGAGCCAGACCTGGTGCTGGTTTCCTTCTCTCCTCAGGGCTGAGGCCTTTCTCTGCAGGTTGCTGACTTGAAGGTGGTCAGTTTCTCTGAGGAGCCCCTTTCCTTTCTGTCTCCATTGCTTTGTAGCAGAGGTCCCCTCCTAGCCAGACCCAGTGACGTCTATAGTCCCAGCTACTCAGGAAATTGAGCAGGAAATCAAAAGTTTGAGGCCAGTTTAGGCAACTTAGCAAGACCCTGTTTCCAAATTTAAAAAAGAAAATTTAAAGACACTGGAGATGTAACTCAGTGGTAGAATTCTTGTTGAACCATATTTAAAGCCCTGGATTAATCCCTGTTACTGAAAGAAGAAAAAAAATTTTTTTCCTCCTGTTTGCCCTGGGGCTGTGTTTGGCTTTTAGGCCTATGAGGATGGAGAGTCATACTGAAATGGAGATGCTCAGGACAATGAAGGGGCCTTCCACAGGGGAAGTCAGTGTGCACCTGGTGGCCAGAGACAGCCCAGGTTCCGGTCCTCACCTGCCGGCAGCTGCCTTCATCATTCCGGGTAGGTTAAGCCAGGTGTCTGGGAGGCGAGGCATTCCCACGCTGGCCAAAGCAGGTGTGGATCAGGGAAAGGGTGATACCCCTTTCACTTTTCTACACCTGCCTTCTTTCTCCTTCCTGCACATGCATGACAGGATGGAGGGAGGGCCTCTAGGCTCACCTGTGCCGTGTCTCTCTGTGTATCCATTCACAGCTAGCACAGCCACCCTTGGCCTGTCCAGCAGTGCCCTAGATATGTCCTGCTTTCCGCGGGAGCCAATCCATGTGGGCGCCCTGGAGCGGGTAGCCAGCAGCGAACCAGTGACAGCCACTGTTCTGCCACAGCTAAGTACTGGGCCTGCAGCCAGCTCTAGTGCCAGCACAGTGAGACTTCTGGAGTGGACCGAGGCTGCAGCTCCGCCCCCTGGGAGTGGTCTGCGGGTCAGTGCTTGTGGGGATTGGCTGGACCCCTTGAGCTGCAGCAGTGGGGTGGGACCTGTGGGCTGGGCTACAGGCAGAGTCTGAGGCAGAAAGGAGGCTGGCAGAGATGTTGGCTCCTGGGGGAGCTCGTGGGGTGTGGCCTAGAGTGAGGCACCCCGGGATTGGGCCTGCAGGCTTGGGGGCAAGGCTTTGGACGAAGCCTCAAGGCCTGCTGAGGCAGGAGTTGACATGAGGCAGTGAGAAGGCCCTGGTACTGCCCCCGAAGTGGGTCGAGGACTGGTGCAGGCATCGCCATCCTCAGACTCTCCCGCGCTCCAGTTCCGGATAAGCGAGTACGCACCGCTGAATATGGTGGGAATAGAGCAACCACCAAGCCCCAAGCAGCAGCAGGAAGGCAGAGCCGAATGCGAAGATGGCGGGGCCACATCAGGAGGTGGCCATGAGGACACCCAACAACCCGGTAGGATCCCACTCCCCGGGCTCCAAGCTGGGGCACCGCGAAGGTGGGGCAAGGCCTGCACCACCTGAGGAGTCTTGGCAGGGGGTGTGATCGGGGGCAGTTCCCACAGGTGCACCTGAGAGTGGTCCATAGTGAGAGGCTGAGAGCTGTCCACTGTGGACATGGGACCAGGGTGGAGGCGGTGCCTGAAGGGGTGGCCTGAGGCCCAGTTGGCCCCACAGAGGGCCTCCCCCAGGACCCTCCTGAAGACTCCTCTCAGGACCGCCCAGAGGATGACAGCGCCTGTCGGTGCCAGGCCTGTGGACCTCAGCAAGGCGCTGGTCCAGACCTTGGTTCCCCCAGTGATACCTGCCCTCCCCTGTTCCAGGAGCGGTAAGCGGGCTGGGTCATAGCCTTACTTCTCTGTCCAGTACCCCATCCTTATTCAGGGCTTAGGAAAGGGTTTGGGTGGTACAGGGCAGGTGGCTGTATGGCTAAGGCTGCTCCTTCCTCAGGTCTGTCATCGTGGAGAACTCCTTGGGCTACACCAGCGCTTCTGAGCTCCTCAAACCCATGAAGAAGCGGAAGCACAGGGAATACCAGAGTCCATCAGAGGAGGAATCGGAGCCAGAGGCCATGGTAGGAGGGGGGCAGTGGGAAGGGAAGGGGAAGACTAGAGCAGGTGTCTCAATTCTAACTATTTTCTTGTCAATCCAATCTTCTTGTCATTCTGGCTAGGCCAGAGAAGACGCTCACAGTAACTTACTCATATTTTCAGGTCCTGTCTTGAGCAAGTCTGTGTGGTTGGAGGGAAATAAATAATTCAGTCTTGATTTTCTGGAGCTCCCATTTCAGTCCAGTGTCAGGGTTAAGACACATTCATGTGAACTGGCACCCAACGTGGGTGTGTGGGAGGTGGAAAACTCCTATCACTGTAGTCCAGTAGATAGGCCAGAGACCAGGAAACACAGAGCTCATGGGCAGAGATGCAAAGAGACCGAGCATAGAGATTTGTCTGGGCAGGTACAATCAACACAGAGCAGGTGCCTCGGAATAAGGGGAATCGTGGTCAGGCTGGGTAACTGTGGTATATATACTCACATGAGTATGTGCCCAAGTGGTAGTGGGCTGTCTGCTGGAGTTGTGTTCCTGCTGGCAGCCTGAAAAAAATTCTGCCTATTTGGGACAGAACACACGTAGCCAAAGAGCCAGGCCAGAATGAGAGGCTAAGGACAAAGCTGGGATCAGGCTTTCCTTCTATAGGAGAAGCAAGAAGAAGGAAGGGATCCAGAGGGACAGCCCAGTGTCAGCACTCCAGAGAGCGAGGAGTGGAGCAGCAGCCAACCAGGTATGGTACCTGTGCGTATATATTTGTGTGAGCTGTGCCTATGCCTTCGGAAGTGTGAGGCTGGGAGGATGGGTCATGGTTGTATTGGTAGGTTGTCCATGTATTAACAAGCATGGACAGTGTATGTGAAAGAGAAACAGTGAGTGGTCTCTGGCTTGTGCATTTTATAAGTGTGTTCTTGGGGGTTATATTCTGTGTTTATCTTTACTATTTGATTGTGTGTAGGCTCCACTGCCAGGGAAGTCTTGGCTCAGTACCTGAATACATGAGCAAGCTTCATTGGCATCACACATGGCATAGTTTTCCTTTGGTGGTAGAGGCAAGCTCACACTGGTCATTGGTCTGACATTCCAACTGAGCTCCAATTCTGGTCCTTTCAGTTCAAGAAAAATATAGCAGAGGTCATTCATAGTCAGCTCTAGCACCGTACAGTCCTCTGTTACCATTTCAGTATCCCCAGATGACAACTGTCAACAGGAACTGAGTAGCAGTTGTCTCATTTATAAGTACCTAGTTACTATGTGCAATTTAATGTCTGCCTTTGCCCCTCAAGACTTAGACTCCATTACCACAAGAACTGAATTTATTAATCATTGTATCCCAGATGCTTAGCCTAGAGCCTGCTATAGAATAGTAGTGAATGTAGTGTATGTTTGTTCACTAGATAAATGGATGATTTATATGTTAGTGGTTTCTTGTGGGCTGTGGGTCAATTACATGAATCATCATCTTTCCCATCCCAAAGAGTCAGACACATTCTTAAGATATCATTCTGCCTTACTGAACCTAATACTAGTGGGAGATGTCCAACCTGCATCCAAGGCTCAGAACTTTACAAGACCTCTTCCATATTCTCCCCACCACAGCCAAATTAAAGTTTCACTATTGTGTCTTACCCAGGGCAGTCACATCAGGAATCCAAAGGCTTAGCTCTCTTGGATTTACGGTCTCATAATACTTACACACAGGAAAAAAATGTTTTTTTGTTTTTTTGTTTTTTTTTTTTTT